CCATCAGTGTACAACAGGATGAAGTGCTTGTGGTACTTATCCTTGGTCTCGCTCACCAGCCGCAATGCTGCAACTAGAGGCTCGGTAAAGTTTGTTCCACCCGCTGTATAGTGGATTGCCCTTTCGACGTCACCCCGGGAGAGTGGAGATTCTCGGAGGGTTGTGTTCGCGACGTGATCGAACATGACCAAAGATATCACAGAACGAGGTCCATTCGCCATGCACCCGGCCTCCTCAACGAACTTCACCACTGCCTCTGATGCGGGCTTGATCTTCTCCTCCATGGAACTGTCCAAGCAAATGATGTAATGGTGCGATTCCCCTATAAGGAAGAAGCTTGCCTTCTGCAAGTACCGGTCGTGGAATGAAGCATAAGCTGCTAAAGCCGCCGCATGATCGCCGGAATGAAGCGCTGCAACAAACGCACGTGAGATGCTGTCGTGAGCTTCTGCTTTCTGCAAATCTTTGGCAATTGAGGCAGACTCGGCCTCCTGCTTCTTCATGCGGGCTGCTTAGATTCGCTTGTATCCCTCACTCTGTCCATCTTGTAGAAGGGTACTTGGAAGGTTCAAGCGTTCCATCAGGTCATTGGCGCTGAGAAGGAGACCAAAGGAACCCTTTTGTCCTTGCCTGGCAGTCCTGCCCTGACCCTGCCACTCCTCACTTGCCGTGAGGGGAACAAAGGTATACAGAACGTGAACTCCCCCATTCTCCTGCAATCTGCTGTCATAGGAAGTGAAATCGCTGCCACGACCGAACACAGATGTTGCAAGAGTTATCTGGCCGGTGTTGGCTGCTTTCTTGGTTCGATGAAGCTTCTCATCATGTGCCAGGTCCTCTACTAGTAGTTGCAGGGACGGAGGAAGCGCAGATGCAAACGAGGATGCCATGAACTCGTTTAAGATTGGCGCACTCTCGAAGAACACAACGATGGCGCGCGCCTTCTGGATCACCTGCTGTATAGACACTGCGATGGCCTGGAAGTAATCATCAACTTCGACAACCTTGATGGCATCGTCTTGCTCCAAAAATCGAAAGTCGAACTTGCCGAAGACGGACGGAAGTGTCGTGTAGGCCAGAAGTCCATATTTCAGGACTTCTGCACGCTGGTACATATCAAGCTGTGCGACCGTTCCTGACACACCAAAGATGTAGCTGGGGTTGATGTTCGCATAAGAGAACTGGCCAGATGGCACAAGCATTGCCAGGTTCTCATCAATCTTCTGGGTGGCATTTGTCAAACGCTCGTGGTTCGCCAACCAAGCAAACGCAGTTTTGTAACCATCAACTGCTGTGCAGTCAATAGCATCATGGACCATGTAGCCCACACACTTCTGAACGTCATCGAAGTAAGGAATTGGAGGCACCTCGTGCATGTATTCGTACAGGCTCGTGCACATGGAGTCCAGCTGCGTGTCAATCACGTATGGGGCATGTTTGAGGGCACGGACGAGGCTGACGTACTCGCTGCTGGACCGGAGGTCCTGACAAAGTAGGCTCGCATCTTTGAGCGATGTTGCCTCACCGCGGCGGGCCCACAGCTTCCTTATGATGTCCTGCACATCCTTGTGGTGCCATGTTGCCATTAGATCATGTGTCTTCCCAAGGTATGCAGGGCTCATGAATACATCCACCTCATCGAACAGGAGAACTTCCGGCGCATCGTGATGTTTCGGTGGAGGGGTGAGAGACGCCTCACCTTGCAAGAGCTCTAGCGTCTGTGACCTGATGTCCCCGAGAGCTGCCACGAGATCTTCACTGTAGGTGGTGATTCTGCTGTACTTAATCATTCGAAGAACCCCGAAATCGGTAAAGGTCTGCTTGAACTCACTCTCGTCCCTCTTGCTGAGATCCTTCGAATAGCAAACTACACGCACACGAAAGCCGAGAAGAGCAAAGACAGTAGCCGCCGACCCCAAAATCAACGACTTGCCTCCACCAGTCTCCAGGTTCGCAAGCTTGGACCCCACATCTTTGTCACCAAAGCCAAAGAAGCGGAGTATTGCGAGAACCTGAATGTTATGTGGGGTCCGAATTCCAGCTTCCAAGTCCCGGTCCGTGCCCTTTGCGATGTTATCCGCTACGAGCCGGCGATAGGCATCATTGGTTGAGGTCATGGTGTAGTGCATGAAAACATAGGCTAAGACTTCTGGAATGTCCCGCTTGACGACCTTCGGATCGACAAGCCAACCGGCACCGTGCTGTTCGAAGAGCTCACTCGCCTTTGCTCGGCTCTTTGCAAGAACCTCTGAGATGTCCAATTCGTATCGTTTGAACTGATCAAGCATCTGGTCATAGTGGGCAAGGAAAGTCCTCAAGCCTTCGGCAAGGTCCTGGGAATCCACTGGCATCTCTTGGTCGCTCTCCATGCTTTTCGAGCGGAGCTCTTTGGCACAAGCATCTGGTGCTTTCTGCATCTTCTGTGTAGCGCGATTCCACTGAAGGTTGTCCACCGCTTGGAAATACTTCTTTTGCTCACTCACAACCCTTCTTGCTGCAGTAGGTCGACTCATTGTGCCATCGGGTGTATCCCACTCCTCGGTAACACCTTCCTGCAAGTGCCGCCCAAGGGAGAATAGAAACGACGCTCCATCTTGTCTCGCACTTACATCCGAGAGCACGTTATGCAACCTCTCGGATGTGTGCTCTTTGAGAGATGGGATCTCGAACAAAATCAAGGCCAAGGTGGTGATGTCACTTGCAAGCATGGGCACCATTTGCGTCTGCTCAGATCTGGTTCTGCGAAACGCTGATGTTGCCATTTCATCCACGTGTTTCACGACTTTAAGTCTTAGCTGGTCTCTGGCCTCCTGAATCTCACGACCCAGAGCTGGGCTCACACCGCTCATGCTCCTCCGGAGTGAGTCGATTTTGTTGAGGCTGTCTTGCACTGATCGGTACCGTTGGTTTTCATGATGTTGGGAACCTGTCGTGGAGATATCATGGGCATACGCAGAGATGGCACGGTGGATCTCCTCTTGCAAGGCTTCAACCTGCACCTTTGAGCCGACGAAGTGTTCGAGGCCAGACCAGCCCGGCATGCCACGGAGAAGTGAGGCGACCTCTTCATACCTACCGTTGTCCAAAGAAGCTTTCGCGGCGGCAGCCAGCTTCTGCAAGCCACCCTTCGAAAGCAACGAACACTGCAACTCCGAAGCAGCAGCTGCAGTTTCATTGGCGAGACATGGGATGCTGTCTAAATTCTCTTTGACCTGCTCCGCGATCCCGAGGAACCTAAGCATTGATGCGAGATCGTTCTGTGCCTCACAATACTGCTCAGCCAACCTATCGCACATGTGCCGGGTCCAGTTCTGACGAAGCTCGAGTATCTCTGGAATCTCCGAGTGCAAATGAGACTGCTTCAACATGAGGATAACACTCCGAAAGTCCACCTCTTGTGATGCTTCAGGATCTGCGGCAGCGCTCAGCAATCCATCCAAAGAGGCGGGGATGTTGAGCATTTCAGCAATCCTTGCCATTAGTGCTGCCACCGTGTCTTGCAGACTCTTCTCTGGCACGGATTTCGGGATGATGCTCTCGAGGAGTGACAAGTGCCGTTGATGCTCAAGGATGTCAGGAAGGCTCCTGGATTCGATCTTCTTGGCCAATGTATCTTCAACACGACGTACGCTACCCTTGGTGATCTCTCTGATGCTGGATACCATCTGTGGCTACTGCGAGACAGTGGCAAGGACATCACCGATGTGATCCTTAATCTCGTCCATGCCACGTATCAAAGGCAGAGCACAATCGATGTCGGCATTGGCATGGCAGGACTTGAGTGACCCTGCAAACACATCCCAGCAAGCATTGATGAGAGGCGGCATTGACGTCTTGCATACCGCGATCTGGGAACATCCCAGCCAGGAGGAGACGAGGCTGGCATCGGCATCGACAGCTGATGAATGCATTCCGCAGCGTTTGAATGGTATGATAATGGAAAGAGCTTTCTCTGCAACATAACTGCCGTTTCGAAGCATGACTGGGGATACCGTTGCACATTCCTGCAGCTGTTCCTCCAGCTCCAACTGAGCAGGTCGGCTCCAAACGGCATAGGCGGCATAAGCACCACAAGCACCAAAGGCAAATTTAAACAGTGCCTGTGCTGCCGTGCAACCCCGGGGCGGGTTTCCGGCAGCGTCCACCATCTCCCAGTCGCGGTCGGAGTCATCATCGGAAGCCGGCTTAAGAGCAACCGTTCTTTGAATCTCTGTTTCGAGCCTCTTAGCAGGCCCATATGCCAAGTGCAACAAAGCTCGCAGCTCCTCTGTGCTGGAATCAGCCAGTGCTTTTCCATCAACCCGCTCCTCCAAAAGAATCTGCTTAGCATCCCGGCACTCCGCCTCCGAACACTCGGTGGTCCTCAAGAAAGCCGCCACCCACCCGGCAACTCTCTCCGAATCCCAGACCTCCATCCTCGTCCGCTGGCACGGAGCCCAACCCACAACCAGTCTTACTCAGGCTTGAGCACGGAAGACAGCTGTACAAAAGCCAGGATTCGACAGGCATGCTGCATAATGGGCATCAGAAACTGCTACAGACAGGTGCAAGCACTTCAGATTCAGAAACAGCGAGATGTGCATCCAAAACGGTGCAGGTAATGCACGCACCGGAGCTCCTGCCTGGAATCTATCGGTGTTCGAGGAGCCGAAGCGACTCCACCAAAGCCTCAAGCAAAGCAAACAGGGAGGTGCTGGGTGGGAGTGAATGTCGCATCCGCACTTTTGGGGGAAGGCTTGGAATTCTTCGCAGTGGCGAATGAAGTCTATTTGTCTCACCACGAATATCCACGAATCACCACGATATCCGTTGACGCGCCACAAATAGCAAGACGTGAAGTTGTGCCTTGCGATGACACTCGGTTCAGCAGTGGGCATAGCAACATTCAAGGGGCTTGAGTGCAACGTGCCTTGGCCTTGACTTTGATTTGCAGGTAGTGCTAGGAGGTCCTAGGTGTGAAGTCGGAGATCCACTGGGGCCCTCGAGCTTTTCGCAGCGTACTAGCATGCATGCTCGAAGTAGCATGCCACACCGGCGTCGGCATGGTTCTGCTCCACATATGCTCGGACCTTCGCCGGCCAGACAAGATCTTTCACGCAGGTCAGCACGCGCAGGGAGGGCAGCACGTAGAGGTCGTCCCAGGAGTGGCCGAATGCATTCAGCGTTTTGTCTGATCGCAGGAGCTCCTCAAACTCGACCAAGAGTGTATTCACTTTTGGTGCCAGCTTCTCTGTATCGGCCAGTGCTCTTTCATAGCTGAAGCCTTTGGCAGTGTACTTATCCATCTGGTACTTCCTGTCTTCCTCACGGGGTCAGCGTTGGTATCCGAGTTCGGAGTTCAGGGATTGTAGGGGCCTGGTTTTGGGCATGTACGTAGTCCTGACGCCATGTTCAGACACTTTCTGCTTCCATCCCCGAGCCCCGTCCTCTCTGGCGAAATCCTTGATAGGCATCTGAAGGAGTCGGGGCCTCGTCAGTCCATGCATCACTCGCCGCAGCCTCGCTCAGGGCTCGGCTTTTGGCTGAAACCCCTCAGACACGCTGCTCTAGTCACTCTAGTCCTAAACCTTATGTACCTTAGCCCTACCCTAATCGATCTGCCTAGTCTCTCTTTCTTGAGGGTCTTTATCAATCAAGGACCATAATGAAAGGATGTGTCTACAGAAGGTGCTTGAAACCTGTCTAGTCAGGCTTTGAATCTACCCGAAACTCTCATCAAGTCCTTGTTCAACACTTCTACATCTCACAGGGCGTCTCATTTCGGCGCATTTATACATGTCAGGGGTGTGGCGGGTATAGGCACTGTGACGAGATACTTGTAGTAGTTTTCCAGACCTCCAAACTAAACCCTACTACAACCCATAGAATCCAACAATAACCCGAGACAAACCGTATATATTTGAGCTCTATCGCTAATTATTCTGAAGTCTATCAATAGCAAAACCCTGTAAGCCTCAGATTCAAAACCCTAAAGCCCTCAGACATGTACACAGGCCCAGGTAAACACAAGAACCTACGAACACCGAAGCAAACCTTTCATTTAACTATCTTAACCCGACACGGCCTACCTTTCTAGTAGGGCTCTGTATCAACATTTCCTTGTATAAATCCTTAAAGCGGTAGGTTCCTCAGGGTGAAACCAAAATGCTACACCCTGCCCGACTAAACCCTGGCCTCGTTTGCCAAGCCTTGAGGTCTTTCCTGCCGGTCCGGCGCTTGATTAGCCGACCTTCTTCCAACAGGGGTGGAGGGGTGGGGCGGTGGTTACGGGATTTTATATGGCTATAAGGTGCTATAATTGGTATAACGAGTTTATCCTACAGGGCTGTGTGACGACGTCGAGAATGGGCTCAACTGCTTTTGCACGCCTTCTTTTCGTTGCCTCGATACGATACGGATTTTAGATTGCGGGGCTCTTATACGAAACTAGAACTGTTTCATTCGGGTGCTCGTGGTTTATGGCTTCTAGGGTTCACGACAACAGCCGTTTCTGGCTTTTGGGGCTGGGGTCTAAAAGGTCTAAGGTCCGAGCCCCCAGAGGTAGTCTCGGGGTACTGTATATTTGGGGGTCGAAGTGGGCAATCGCTCATGAGGGGCTTCGACCGGATAGGGGCCATATTGGCTGCGCAGCACACCGACTTTCCCCATCGGGATATGCAAAAAAATCTTGTTGCAACACCGTGATTCAGGCTCTTGGGCACTCTATCGCCCCCACTTTATATCGCCATAGAAGTACAGAATGGCGCTCGCCCAAGAAATAAAAACGTGACAAGCCCCGAAGAAGACCGTCTTAGAATGAGAAGAACGATACTACAAAGCTTCGGGCAGGGTGCTTCTGATATAGCCTCAGCCACAGTGCTCATAAAATCCTGGTTTCCATCGCCCATGAGCCGAATAGCGAGCCACGATCTACCTGAAATAGAACCGAAGACAGCCAACCGGCATCCCTATATCAACCTAAATCCCTCATGCCCGGATCATGTCACGAAGGCAGCCATAGTCCTTCTGTGCCTTTAAAGCGGCGTGGTCCACCAAGTCTGCACCCTACCCTAAATGCCCTAAACCCCAGAAGCCCTGCAAGCACCATTGTTGCAACCACCCCGGAGGCGCCTGTTGTAGACTCTGCCGTAGACTCCACTGCTTCGATGATATCCTTCGACTCGCACATCTTTTGCTCCTGGCGAAGTTGACTTCTAGTAGGCTGCAGGCTTCGTAGGGTTGAGGGCCACGGTATTTCGGGAGTTCTAAGGGATCTAAAACGGCTTCGGGAAAAGGATTCATGATTTCGGACATGGCAACATGTTGGGGGAGCTTCGGACCGCAAAAGAGCCCTCATTGAGTCATCTGAGTCATCCAGTACTGAAATGTTGGCGATACGAAGTGTTCCAACGCATCAGCTTTGGAGGATTAGACTCATGTTCACCGCTGAAAGCATGAGGTTCGAGGCAAAAGCTGTACTGTGGGTACAAGGCCGGCAGTGCGGCGCACAAAGGCACTCACAGAAAGGTTCGGAACCATGCTGCTGGGCCCCTTCACAATTCGCCCCTTTTTCGAAGATTGCAGAAGGCTTCCATCTCAAGCACTCAAGATAGCGATGCATTCAATAGAATCTGACACCCTCAAGAGGGCATGCTCAAGGTCATCCATCTTGCAGGGGTGGTTTAAGCTTTAGGGGACCTTCAATTCAAGATTGGAATGCCTAGGATTATGGCTATGTTGCCACCTTTCCTCCTTCTCGAGCAGTTCCACATAAACATACCCAGGCCGTTCTCCCAAACAACTCACGACAAAGCCCCCGCCTGCCCTTCTGAGTCATGCCAAGTCAGCACCGGCAGCATCTTCTTGCCGATCAGCGCCGTCGGCCCGGCCACGTCAGCGTAGCCGTACCTGTATTGCCCATGTTTTCTGGACATAAACCCTAATCGCCAGAACCTCAAACCCCATCTTCCCGCAGCAACATCGTACTCGGCATCACGAAAGTGTGCAGGAGAACCCGGAACAAAGCAACTCTGAAGCCTACCTATATGTTAAGCAATGTAGCAGCTTTCTCTGGCTGTCCAGTTCGAAGCTAGCGGCGCTGTAGACAAGAAGCAGCTTAACCGACAAGTATACAGATGAGGGTCTGGGATCTTGGATGTTGTTAATCCCGAAGCGATGAAACAACCAAACACAAACAAAGGTCTAAGTCCAAGTTGAAGTCCTAAAGCTTGAAGAAGCTCCCTCCGCCGAGATGCACCAAACGCTCGGGTTGCCAACCATGCCAGCCCAACACGAGCTCCACACGAGTGCAATACCTTTAGATGTTGAGGGTGCTTCCCCGTAAGAGCTCAGGGTACATACCTTCAGGGTTCGGAAGCATTTGTGCGAGATTTTCTCTCCGCGGGTTATCTTCATTGTGGCACCCAATTATTAAAGCAGGAGTTCACGATAGCATAAGCGCCCTCAGCTGGACCCTAATTTAGAGCGCACGCGAAGCATAAACTCACTCTCTCTCTCTCTCTCTCTCTCTCGCTCTCTCTGAAGCCACCGATTCAATCACTACTGTTACACCACACACCTTGAGTCCCAAAACCCTAAACCCCCTAAGCCCCACGGTAAAGTTTGGGATCTGAGCACTTGTGGACCTACGTCACGTAGCGCAGAAGCCCAAACCTCTGGACAACATAGGAGGGCCTGCATGATCAAAATGGCTTTTTGGTGGCGGACTGTGGCGGGCTGGGATTTATGGTATACGATGACGGTCAGCGTGAGCAAGAAAGAAAGCTGCTACGAAATATGGATCCGTTCAGGAACTTGGGGTTTGGACCTGGCCGGGGAACGGACAGTGGTCGTAGATGTGCACGCCCAAACCTCTCGCTCCCGCCAGGGGCGCCGTCGATGCCAGTGGCACCTGCCACGTATATGGGTAATTTTCTAAATTAGGGGCCCCATTTGGGGTCCTTGTTGTATGGGTGCCGTACTATATTGGGAACCCAAAAAGGGACCCTGATTTAGAGAACTACCCATATCATTGTTAAAAGCCGATGCATGCCGATGCCGTTTAGGGCTTGGGGATAGCCTCAGACAGTATGGATAGCCTCAGACAGTATGGAAAAGATACCTTCAGATCCTTTGCACATCTTTCCGCGAATGAGCGGAACAGACGATGATGACATGGGCTGATGCGCATGTGTTGTGGTGCTGCAAGGGCATCGGTACACCCTAAGTTTAAAGAAACCTACGGAGCCCAAAATAAAACACCAGGGAAGACCGCGTGAAGCTCTAGATTGAAGAAACAATAACCTGTAAGAAACCCAAACCCCAAACTCACTAAGAACTCGTCTTAGTCTGGCAAGCTCCAAAACCGCGCCTTTCCCAAGACGGCCGAGCTCAACATCGCCACGGCAGCGGCGAGCGCAGCCAGTCGGCGCCAGCGCCGCTCCATGAGAAAACGGGAGGTAGGGCTGAGGCTTTGTACTGGACTCCAAGGTCCAGTTTAGGGTTTGTACGTGAATTGTAAGGGTTTAGGGTTTGGGGTTTAGGCTGGTCCAGGTTCGAATTCCTGGCACGGGTGTGGGATTCCTGCATATAAAGGCCAGGTGCAGGACCTGGCTATGTAGTCTGGAATAATGAACTTATGAATGTTCCGGGTCGAACAGACGGTAGGTCCGCTTGATGGACTGTTCTCATGATTTCGGTCAAAATGTCCCAAACATTCCCAACCCCTGAGCTCAGGACTTCCTGGCTCTGTCTCTTCTCACAACATGTCCTTGCACTCTGTTGGTGTCCCTCTCTCTCGCGGACTCAGAGCTCTGTGTCAGGGTCCCTAATTCACTAGCAAAACTCACGCATTGTCGTATGGGGTTCGACAGTTGTTGGATTAGGATTCCGGACTCGAGGTTGAGAATACAGGGCTTACGTTCGCAGGTGGTCTGCGATCTGCAAGCCCTATAGGGCGCGGCTCGCAGTCGTGGGGACGCCTCACAGATCAAGCCCCCCCGCCCCCCCTAAAAGGGGGGATTATGATGGGGACCCCAAGACTGAGATACGCATCCCAAGATTAAGATAGGGACCCCAAGACTAAGATTGGGACCACAAGATTGAGATAGGGACCCCAAGATTAAGATAGGGACCCCAAGATTAAGACATGGACCCCAGATTAAGATTATGATTCCAGGCATGACAGAAGGGGCAACATTCATCATTGGTCTACATGAAGAAACTTTCTGAACTTTCAAAAAAACCCAAGCCCGAAACGAGTCGTCAGCACAGAAATACACATAACAGGCTTTTCTCGATGCCCAGAAGCACTGAGAAATCTGGAAATTTGGGGTGGAGGGTTTGCAGTTTGGAACCTAGACTGCTGTGCACACCTCTTCAAGAGCCCAGGGCATTAAGGCTAGATTGACATCAGACATACGATGCTGAGTGTCGTGCCCAGCAAGCCAAGAAACAGACCTCTCCCCAGTAAACTCTAAACCTTCAATCCTAAATTCTTGCAGCCTGG